TATGATTGAAAATGAATAGCACTACAGAAACATAATAATTTGTTTTTTTATACATGTAGAACTCAGCAGGAACTACACTAAGCAGGAGGCGTGGCTCTGATACAGTGCTCAGGAGGCTGTAGACATACTAACAGTGAATGCACTGTGATGTTGAATTGTGCACATTGGCACAATCCAACATCACAAGAACTTTTGTTGAGGGGTTGTCTGAAAATCTCCTGAAAAGAGCAAAACTGCGAATGTCCATCTCTGTTTTCTGATTTTTTTCTGCCCTGTGTCAGTTTCTGCTGGCGATGATTAAAAACTAGTCTCATAAAAGAAAAACATTAAGAAGGGCTAAAAAACATAATTTCTTATGAATAAAAAGCAAACATTTTTCTAGGGGCTATTTTTAGTGGTACACTTTTCTCACTACACTTATGTGCCATCTGAAAAGCATTCAAAGCAGCAGGGTGGTGTACGCAAGACTCACTCAAAATAAACTACAGCCTGCTACTCGTGTTACTTGTAATCAAACAGGACATCTCAGTGTAACAGTCTAGCTTCATGATGAGTTTGTTTTTCTTTTTTCGGAGTCCCATACTTTGTATACAAATACACCCCTTGGCTTGTTAGTCTTCAGCATACAGTAATTTCTATTCTTTCTTGTGTGTCTGCAGGTGGCTCTTGTAGGTCAAGAGCCTGTGCTGTTTGCCCGCACAGTTGAGGAGAACATTACCTATGGCCTGACTGATGTCCCCAGGGAGGCAGTGCTGCAGGCTGCCACCAAGGCTAACGCTCATGATTTTATTACCACTCTTCCTAAAGGCTATGAAACAAGTAATCATTAAATCTGTTCATTTGTAAATCAGCTTTTTATGTGCTCTATGTGTAATGGACATGCTTGTTAAGCTGGGACCTCAAGAGGAAAAGTCACATTTAACATCGGTCCCTGGCAGATTTGTTTTACTATACAGAGCTTTACTGTACATTGCAAAGCTGCTTGCAGAGGCATCCGAAACTATAGGTTGGCTGATACAGCTTAAGTAGCATGCACCATTTGAGATCTGCCAATAGGATGTGTGGAAAAGTAAGAAGTGACCATGAGATAGTATGGCTGACACTGAGATCAGCTGATTTGCCAGCTGAGCCTGACTCTAGGGTCTGCTTAAAACTAACACAGTGCTCAGATTTAAATGCACAAATATCATAGCCATACAAAAAATAGAGCTATGTTCTTTAATAAAGAAATGGAGATGTGTTTCATAAGATGAAATGATGTATTTGACTGACTTTTACCTTACTGTTTTCTTGAGGTGTTGGCGAGAAGGGCACACAGTTGTCAGGGGGACAGAAACAAAGGGTTGCCATTGCAAGAGCTCTCATCCGTAACCCTCGTGTTCTAGTCCTGGATGAAGCCACTAGCGCTCTGGATGCAGAAAGTGAACACATTGTAAGTGTTATCAAAGCCAGAGGAGAGCTTCAGTACAGCAGCTGTTACCAAGCAGACATGCAGCATATTTGCATTATGGAATAATATAGAGGTGTTGATGTATTTGCTGAATTCACTACAGGTTCAACAGGCTCTGAACAATGTCCTGC